ACTTGCACTTTGGATTATCAAATCTCCTTAAGCATACAGAATTTCTAATACAAGAAGCTACGAAAAAATTAGATAACATTGTTCCACGTATTCGTCAGAAACGAGGATTGATTAATCTCGTAGGAAAAACTTCAAAGTTTCTTTTTGGTACCATGGACTCAGATGACGAAATCAAAATTAATAATGCACTTCATGAATAACAAAAGAACGCAAATTCTGTGCATAGTCAACTGAAACTTCAGACCTCACTCACTAAAGAATTGATAGATAATTACAATTCCACAATTTCATTATTAAGTTCTAATCAGGTACAGATCAAAGCAAAATTGTATCATCTGCAAAATGCGATGAATGCAACTGTAGGAAGCTTGACAGCTTATCTTCACGCTTAACATATTTTGCAGCAACTTAATCTAAATTGTCAAAATTTGATTACATTTTTAGATAATTTGGAGGACGCTATAATGTTTTCAAAATTGAATACTTTACATAGTTCTATCATATCAATTATAGACTTAGAGAAAAATAAAGTATTTAGCAAAATTATATGGTAAAAAGAAAGTACCAAACTTTCAAACTTTGCAATCATACTATTTAGTAGCTGATCTACAAATTACATTTACTGATAATAAAATCTTGTTTTCTATAAGATTTCCTATATTATCTGATGAAAAATTCCAATTTTTCCGTCTATACCCAGTTCCTATTAGAAATTCAACCATTATTCCAACCCATCCCTTTTTGGCTCTTGGAACAAGTCATCAGCAATTTGAAGAAGAAGAATGTCCAGAAATTGAAAACGTCTACTTTTGCAAAAATCGACAAGAACCCATCCATGGTTGTCTAAACGAGTTACTGAAGAAAGCAGAATTTTCAAAATGCCAATTCACAAGGTTACAAGTATCCAGTCCTATTGTTGAAGCGATATCAGCAAAACACATTTTGGTCATTTCCGCTGAACACACCAAACACAGCCGTCAAGTTGTGTGGTACTCAAGCACCACTTATTTTAGAAACGCCAAGTTTAGTCGAAATACCCGAAAATTGTGGAATACAAATCAACTCACCTAAGTTTTGGAACAAGGAAGATCAAGTTAAAGGAAACCCTTTGATCCTTCCAGAAATAAAATTTTGGAATGCACGATCGAACTTTGTGTCCAAGAAAGCTTTGATCCTCAAGACTATTAACCTCGGCAAGATCAAAGAGATGCAAGATAAAGCAAATTTTCTTCAAATGCAAGAAGAAGCCGCTATTGATCCCCTAATTTGATTTTCTAGCAGCTCAGTTTTTACTATTTTTTTGCTTGTTACAGCTGCAGTAACCTTTTGGTATATTTTGAGAAAACAAATCCAGAAGATAAATGATCAATCCCAAGACACGAAAGATGAAGAAAATCCCGAATCCAGTGAAGAAAGGCGCAAGAAAGATGCAAAAAGAAGAAAACCCCCTATTAAGTTTTCAGACTAGGTGGGGAGGAGTTATGATGCAGACAAGGATGCATGTGGAAGAAGAAAATGCTGAGGAAAGTATCCGAGCCCGAGATGATAAATAGAGGTTCTTCATGCTTTTCCAGAGATTCCTCATTTGTTCGTCGTATTGTACATTTTGTGTATTTTAAAATATTTCAAGTTAGTTTTGTAAAGTAAAATAATTTTTTTTAAAAATCCGAACGGCCATTTCGGCAACATATCTTACATATCGAATGTGTACGAGTATATAAGTGGGAGAATTCGTCTTTGGGAAAATCGACAAAATATGCAAAGTGTACTCTTTTAACTTGCAACTCAAGCTTTAGAGAGTCTAGGTAGACTATGCATAAACTGGATTTATGAGCTTCTTTATGAAAAACACCACAAACGGATTTAAAAAGAGTTACTGAATAATTAATTATTGAAACTTTCCCATTTCACATCCTGGAATAACCTCAAAAAGCAAGCGTGGTCAACAGGCCAAAAGTGATGTCAAGGTTTGAACATTAAAAATATGAAGTAAAACTGTACGGTAGTGTCAGCGGAACTTGCGGCACGCCCTAACAACGAATACGATGCAATGTCTGCCCCGTCGAGTCCGTGGGTTGGAAAGTGACATTTAACGCACAAAAAGCCTATCCACAAAGTACAATTTATCATCCGGCCGTAGATAATCGATGTTGATTATGTAGTAGGCGTATGTAACTTTTAGGGTCTGAACTTTTCACCGTTTGTTGTGAAATATAACCTCATCTTTTGAATAGTAAGCGCTATGTATACAGGGTGACAATAAATGAAACATCATACACAGGACCGCATTTTAAGGAGGGTGTTCTATATAACATTTTTTCCTCGAGGGCTTCATTAAAAAGATACGGTGTGTTGAAGTTTAAAAGTACAAAACATTTTTTTCGAAACGCGTTATTTTTCGAATGTTACGGTCAATTTGCTACAGATAATTAGTCTTGCGTTTCTTTCCTAGAGTGCACTGTTTTCGCCAAAATAGAAACGAAACAAATCAGATCAATCATGGAGAGCCGAGATACAAATAGTTTCAAAATAAAATAGGAGGCCTTGATACCAACTTGAGACAGTTTGTCAAATTTATGTGTTATACGGTTGTTATCGTTACTATTGCCATTTTTTTTGTAAAAGTTAAGTCAAAAGTTTTTTTCTCCCATTTTTGAGTGTTGTGAAATGGAATTTAGCAATGATGAGTACGCCGGTATTATTTTTGTGTACGAGTTCTGCAATGGAAATTCTTTAGCGGCTTCTCGGGAGTATCAAAGTAGATTTCCTAACAGACGCTAACCTGCCCTAAATGTTTTTACGTGCTCATTTCCAAGACCTCGGCAATATGGAACTTCCCGGAGTTAGAGGCCATGGTGTCCGGCATACTGTTCAAGAGGAGGAAGTGATTAATTTGGCATTGGATGATCTTAGAAAAAGTAGGTACTAGGCGGATTGCAGCCCAGTTACCATGTTCCCAAAGTCTTGCGTGGAGAATTTTAAATCAGGAAGTTTTACATCCTTACCATCGGCAGAATGTGCGATGTCTGCAATGATGTTCCGTTAGCAACGAGAGTTTGAATGTGGTATCAGCACGACGGTACCCCACTGCATGTTCGTCGTGACATAACCGCATGGTTAAATAATCATTGGATTGACAGAAACGGACCCATACATTAACCTGCGAGGTCTCCTGATTTGAACACCCTGGATTTCTTATTGTGGGGCGCTTTTAAACGACTAGTGTATGCTGAACAAATTAATATTGTTGATCAGTTAGAAGAAAGAATGGATAATGCGTTTCATCAAATTCAAGCCACAATAAATTTTGCGGAAATACGTTTTTCTTTATCAAGAACGTGCCGCACTTGTATCCGTCAGAATGGTGGTCTTTTTGAACATTCATTGAAATAAAGCTTTGATTATCTAATTTGTTTTTTTTATTTTTACGTGAACAATATACTCCAGGAAAAAACATAAGAGTAATTATTTGTAGCAAATTGAAGGTGGAATTCGAAAAAAAAATAGTGGCGTACTATTTCTATTTGGGAAAATTATGCCCTAATCTCCTGTATCTCCGACACTGGCGCACATTAATTTTAAGTGAAGGATTTTGAATGTGGACAATACTTGAGTAAGTCCACATCCCAAATTTTAGTTCATTCCAGTTGAAGGTTTTGAAGATGTTAAAAAAATGTTTTTTATCTTTAAACTTCAACGAATGAGGCCCTCGAGGAAAAAATGTTACATAGAAGACCTCCTTAAGATGAGTTTCTGTGTATGATGTTTTATTTTTGGTCACGGCCTGTGAGTCACCCTGTATATGCGATATGTTACATATTTAAGGCAGCAGCGGTGGCCGCAGTGATAGACTCTTCGATCTCCTAAACTAAACGCATTATTGGTTGCATATGATTTGTGAGGCCAAATGGTCCTCGTCTCTAGTTTTTATCTCTGAGAAGGAAGTTGGTTGAATAGCAAGATCGCTTCTGGATGATTATGTGTATTGGTCTGCATGTGTATAAAATCAGTGATATTTGCTGTATGAGAAAATCATTACTGAATATGCTGCTAATGACGTATATCAATTGGCTGTGTCCGATGGGTTATTTTTATGTTGTGCTTTCTGAAGAGAGGTTATGTTCAAAGTTATAAATTAGAGGAAATCATCACCGCGCCGCGTTGTGTGTAATTATTGTTAGCATGTATATGGTTTGTAATGCGACAGTGTACAGTGAATATAATTATTTCTTATCTCTCTCATTTTTGAAATTCAGCAAATTTGTATATGTAATTTCCAGAATGGATAAGAAAAAGGGGATGCGCAACTAATTTCTAGCTTTGAGCCTCAATTAAGTGTATTTGAGACAAGAACAAAATGTAATTATCATCAACACATACAACTTACAGCTTAGACCTTCAGTAGTGCCATCTCAGAAGCAGATCTTACACCACATCAGAGCCAAAGATTGATAACAAGCCTCATTACGTTTAGGCAACACGTACAACTAAGTGCTAAGTTAACATCTTGTAAAAAAAGCAGCATGATGTCAAAAAAATCGGCATAATGTCACTTTTCAAGATACGTGATACGTCACAAGCAGTCAGTCACAGTCGAGACAGTCAACAAACAGCGAGCGACACGTGAACGTAGTCTAGTTGTCATGATTATAAATATGTCATAAATTAGTTGCAAGTGTTATAAAATGTTGTAGAGTAATAGATTAGTCTTTCAACAGTAAAAACGTCATTTCAGTTGTGTCAGGTGTACGGGTTAGTGAAAGTACATGCGCGCATCGGGAGTGACTATGACTGTTTTGAGTGACTATGAACGAATTTTCGTGACTGCTTTGTCTTCGTGTTGTCTTGTGTGTGCGCTTGAGACAATCCTGTGAAGAAGCTATGCAGAGGCTGAGCTCTTGATGACGGGATCGAAGGCGACACTACTTGATAAGCCGTAAGGAAAATCCAGATACCCTGTCGCAGATGCTGAAGAAGAGAACTAGGCCCTCTCAGAGAAGATGGACTACATCAACCGTGACTTCAGAGATGAATTCATCATCGGGTTATCTGAGACGGCAGAGAAGCTTCAAGGTGAGCTTCTAGGGAAGATGTTTGCTGAGCTCCGAGAAGTCGAACGAGGGTTTCAGGAGTTCCAAGCAGATGTTTCTCGGCTGATGTGCTTTGCCTGTCCAGCAGCTCCTGATAATCTGATGGTGTGACTAGCAGCACAGAGATTTATGGACGGTGATGCAATTTGAAGCTGCGAAAGAAGCATCTAGAAGCCATACTGGAGTTAGGGTGGTTGCCGAAGATATAGAAGAACCTAAACGTAGCCAGTAATCTTTGAAGGCGAAGAACACATGAGCTGCACGCTGCTGAAATTGTCGAGAGTGGGGCGGCTCTCGAAGAGAATGCGTGCAACCGCGAAGAACAACTGAGGAGGAAGCTACAACTCAGGTAATTGTGAGGGGGGCAACGTCGGCCCGCTACTCCCATGCTACTGTGCTGGTTGGCTTCAGTAAGACATTACTGGTGTACTACGTGGCTGAGGACCTGAATACCCCAAGGGGCATAGCTTCCCTGTTCCAGAGGAGGTATGGATGCCACCGGAGGTTCGGAGACCATCAGGTTGGAAAGGTTGTGTGTGTACCACATGGTGGCCGCTTCGTCTATGCTCTGGTCAACAGGGTAGACCATCATCAACCGCCGGCTTCTCGAGCAATGTGGGGTCCTGAAAGACCTACGCCAAAACCTGATGTCCGTTACGTCCAGAAGAGGGCGATGCCTAAGATGGAATGTGTATGTGAGCGAGGTGGCTGGGATTGGAATATGCTGGTGTTTCAGAATACGAGCGTAGAAACCCTGGTTTGCAGCGACACCTTCCTGCGAAGAGGAGCCTAGGCGAAGACGGAGAGATGTCACTTCTACAGAACATTCAGGTGCACCTGCCAATATCGTCATGACCCAGGGAGCCCTGTTCGGGATGAGGAGGGGGCAGTGGAACGCCCTAGTAACTGGTACCTTGAATAGCGAAAAGGTACCATCGCAAAAAAGCGACCAGAGTTACACCATCACGTATTGCAGCTTGCGAAGCCTATATACAAGGTCAGCGCGAGATTCAAGTTTCATCGAAACCCGTCTGGAAGCACCTACCGCCATCTTCCAGCTTCTAGGAGAAATCGAGTTTCGCCACATACATAAGTATCTGACCAGATGGCGGAAGCAGTAAGTCACAGTGGCTTTAAATATGTCATAAATTAGTTGCAAGTGTTATAAATGAGTGAGTGTGGAGTAACAAATTAGACTTCGGACAGTAAAAACGGTGTTTTCAAGTTTTAGTAATATACTATCGATCCAAATCATTTTCCTAGATATTTGGGTAAATAGCCGAATATTGTGCAGGACTTTCGTTGGATGGTGCCGTTTAGTAAGGATGGTGGGCTCCTAGTTTAAAGGCTAATTAAGCTAGTTTGACATAGCGCATAAATGACATTATATGGAAACATTGCTCTTAAGGTCTCGCTTTGAGACTAGTATAGCTGCAACTCTATAAAAAAACTGGCAATTGCTTGATAGCGAAAATAAACTTGGAGATCAAAGTTTTACGAAGTACCAAATATTATAGATTACCCTCGCGCACTTAAGTAGGGTAATTTTTATTGTTATGTATTATTAGAAATCTTATATTTGCTTATCACCTAGATAGCGACAAGTCGTGACTAGCTACTCTGATCTCTGGCGATGACGCTCTTTATTTTTTGTACAAAATTTTATGCGAAATATTTTGTTGGAATATATTACGTATCTAGTCGACCTCTACCCTAAAGAGTTTTATTTCTTCCAGTGAGATGTTAGCGAATTATGGGCAGCGTTCTCAAACAGTCCTTGGGCGGGAACATTCATAGGATTCGCGAATTTGAGTTAGAAAAGGTAGGTAGCTGAGAGAGCAAACTCAATACAATTTTCTCATCACCAAAGGAATGTCAGAACAAAATATCATCATTTCATCAGTCTTTTTCTATTCTTACTAATTAATCTACAATAAACATACCGGGTGGCAAATTTTTTGCGCCCTAATTTATTTGATAAATGCCGTCTTGTACTAACTCATCTCATACCACCATGTGGTAAAAAATTTGTTGGTTCCCCAAGTCATATCTACATAACTATGCTGTATATTTTTCTTCCTATTTGCATTTCATTTATATAGAGTCTTTTTAAATGATTTAACAATTCAAATGACTACTAGGATTACTTTTTTGATACACTCAAGCCACCCTGTTGTAAAAGAAATTGTACAGACCGCTTTATAGATTATTTAGAGTTCAAACGCCCCTCATCTTGAAATAAAAAAGAAATTAACTTTTTTCAAACTTGAAAAAGTTATGTCTATAGAAAAATTGGGAAAGGGATGAAAACACCTTCAAATAGATATGTACAGTGCGTCGCAACAGTTAATTGGTTACTGAAAAAAATTGTCCATCTTTTGCCGAAAAGTGCATAAGAGTGCATAAGAGTAAATATGAAATAGTAGCTTAAAGTTAAGGCCTTTGCAGTGATTAACATCGAGAAAAGTCTTCAAAAATATTCTAGCTATTCAGGAACGTAACTGCTGCAACGAATTAGACATACACGGTGAGTTTTTAGTATCAAATTGTACAAGATCTCTATTACTATGAAACGTAATCAAAAATGTTATTTAAAAACATGTGGACTATAAGCTTTCTACTTGGAATATATCTCTCCCTACGCTGCGTACTTATATATTTCAGAAAATGCATTTGTAATGTTTTTAAACTTCCAGTATCTCCAGAGATACACCGAAAACAGATCTAATTTGCCAAAGTCGTTACTATTTTTTCAAAATAATTTGCACATAGACTTTGCCGCTTTTTGATGTCTGCGAGGTGGCATAAATAGAACATTAATATGGTCTTTCAACTCTTATCCCCCGTTCCAACTTTGATTTTTCTTATGTATGCCACTTTTGTATAGCCGACTAGTTTTTAATTATAGAATAAATTTTCCTTGAGTAAGCCATGAAATTATCATATTTCATACAATATCAAAGATGATAACATGTTAAGCATTGATATAAAACACCAAGTGGCCAACACTGCGGCAACTCTAGCAAACCGGCCACCCGGCATCAAGCGGTAGCCCTTCATCTCACCAGCCGCCTCGGCGCGCTGGACATCTATCGCCCATCACAGCAGCAAGGGAGCCGGCGCTGCGTGAGCTGGCGGTGCGGTATCGTCTTTCCTGTGAAACGGTATTATAGTACATATATAGATTGTGTGTTATCAATGTTATAACATTATCAATTACATTCCGGGGCCAGGGCATATTAAGCCTACCAGGGGGAGCGAAAGTTACCTGTACGAAACGCACGTGCAAATTTCAAAATTAATTTTCTCAACTTTTCCTCAAATCAACACAACTTTTTTTTTCACATTCCGTGGCTGGAGCATATTAAGCCTACCAGGGGGAGCGAAAGATACCTATACGAAACGCACATGCAAATTTTTGAAATGGGTTTCTCAATTTTTCTTTAAATCAACACCACTTTTTTCTCACGAAAATGAATGCTAAACTGTATCCTTCATATCCGGATCGATTACATTGCGTGACCGGGGCATATTGAGCGAAAATTACCTATACAAACGCACATGCAAATTTCAAAATTAGATTTCTCAATTTTTCGTCAAATCAACACCACTTTTTTTTCACGAAAATCAATGCTATAATGTATCTTTCATATCCGAGATCAATTACATTCCATGGCCATATTAAGCCTGTCAGGGGAGCGAAGGTTACCTATACGAAACGCACATGTTAATTTCAAAATTGGAATTCTCAACTTTTCTTCAAATTAACACCACTTTTTTTACGAAACTCAATGCTACAAGGTATTCTTCGTATCCGAATCGATTACACTCCGTGGCAGGGGCATATTAAGCAACATTTACCTATACAAACGCACATGCAAGTTTCAAAATTAGGTTCCTAAATTTTTCTCCAAATCAACACCTCTTTTTTTATGAAAATCAATGATACAATCTGTCCTTCATATCCGGGATCGATTATATTCCGTGGCCGGGGGAGCGAAAGATACCTATACGAAACACACATGCAAATTTCAGAATTAGATTTCTCAATTTCTCTTCAAATCAATTCCACCTTTTTTTCACGAAAATAAAAAAATGCTCCTTTATATCCGGGAACGATTACATTCTGTGGTCGGGGCATATTAAGCCTATCAGGGGAAGCGGAAGTTATCTATACGAAACGCACATGCAAATTTCAAAATTAATTTTCTCAATTTTTCTTCAAATCAACACCACTTTTTTTTCACGAGATTCAATGCTAAAATGTGTCCTTCATATCGATTACATTCCTTGGCTGGGGCATACTAAGCCTACCGGAGGGAGCGAAAGTTACCTGTACGAAACACACATGCAATTGCAAGATGTGTCAATTTTAGTGGTATGATTTACGCGTGGCAGCCAGGGAATGACCGTACAGCTCAAAGCAAGAGGCAGCGTTGTCAGGGCTTTTTTCCAGCGATTCTCTTTAATAACTGTCATTCCTTCCGGCTCGCTCAATAACAAGTCGGACAGGAAGTCCTTCTGTCTGTTGTAATACAGTACTTAAGGCCCGTATCGTCAGTCGTCCCTACAATTGTAGGGCTCGTTTATGGCCTTCTTGATTTCGATAATATTACGTCTTCTTCGTTAACGCACATGTATGTCCTTTTGATTTCCGACATCTGACAGTTCTGGCTTGAGGTTGTTTTGACGTTCAAATCACATGACAGCAGAACCATAACTTATAATTTTGTTGCAAATAATTATCCATCAGTCAAAAATACCTCGCTACATTGAACAAATTCCACAACCTGTGGTATCTTCAAGAAATTGTTGAGTTAGGAAAATTAATGCACATGGATATATTATACTATAATATATTTGTGGGTATGAAAGTCCAGAAGCTCACAACCAAGCTTGATGGAGGTTGGTAAGTTGCAAAACAAATCATTGCATATCCATATTATATACTTATCGCATTATTTTCAGGTGTGATTCATTATCACAGACTTTATGAGGAGTTGGTTCCTCAGTAAAATGCTATGTTCACTTTGGAAGGATAAGGAGGTGAATGATCTTTCTAAGAAGGAATTTATGCATCCAGGCATAATTGAAGGAATCTTACAGAAACA